CCTGGGCCGCAGCGGGAGCCGGTGAGGGGAGGTGTCCCCGTGTGCGGCCGCCGGGGCGGGGGTGGGGAGGGACCCAGTAGGGCACCCGCTAAAATAAGTTACTGAGCAAAAATAAGTTGGGCAGTCATTTCCCTGTTTGCAGCGTGCCCGGGGTTTTGATATGCACTTCCACCCCTCCCTTTCCAGCCATCGAGCGATTTGTGAGGGTGCTAAATGCTCTTCACCTTCATATTCATTTTGACATCTTTTTTTTTTTTCCCCTCCTCCCCTAAATTTTGCTGCGTGCACCTCTGTGTGGAGGGCAGAGCCAGCTGTGCCAGATGTTGATTTGGAGAAAACTCGGGCAGCTGAGTTGTGAATACTTGAAAATTGGAAGTAGAAACTGCTGACACACTGACTTACTGAAATGGATTTTGTTCTTCATTTTATTCTCTCGCTCCTCATCTGCAATGGTCTTATGACCACTCTTATTGTTTTGTTTCATTAACGAGTGGTGTCAGAAGTCTTGAGTCATACCAGGTCAGCTCTAGCGCGTTGCTCTTGAGCAGGCTTCCTCTGCACTTATTCCGTAATACTTAATTTTCAGTCCTTGCCTCACCTGAGAATCCCATCCTATGTGTTTTTTTTCCTTGGGATTAAGTATTTATGGTTAATAATCTTCACAGCATATTTGAAAGTTACAGTGGAAGTCGTGGTGGTTACACATACTTGGGTGTAGTAAACCACTTTTTGATCCCTCTCGGCAAACTCGCTTGTGGAATTCCCATAAAGATTCCTGTAAGGATTCTTGTCTTCCCGGCTTGCACAGAACTTGAGCAGTTACATCTGCCAGACATCTGAGGCTGCAGGATGCGAGGATAACGATGATTTTTTTTTAATATAGCAAATAATTCCTACGATAGCAGCAGCAACAAAACCAGTGTTTTTTCAAGCTGGACTTTTGCCCGCTCTCATTCTCGAGGGAGTCCACGCACTCTGGCTTCGTGGGTCAGTCATTGCAGGGGGGGTAAAGGCTTTGGGGAAGGAGGATGGGTGAGTCAGGAGCAGCGAGGACAGTGCTCTTCCTGTCACTCACAGAGGCTCTTCCTGGGGCATCGTAGCTGGGTCCTCAAAAGCAATCTGGTCTCTGGCCAGAGATTTTTTTTCTTTTTAGAAAGGAAGGGGAAAAAAATAAAATAAAGGTGAGATGGTTCGGTCTGGGCTTCCAGCTCCACTTGAATTGCGCTCTCAGGATTCACTTCAGACCCATAAGGCCTAGAACTTGAGAAGCAGAAAGGAAATCTGAGTGTATGGCATAATCTCGTGGTTTGATGAGCTGATACTCAGTACTGTGCAAGTACTTCACTCCTTGGGTCTCCAGTCAGTGCTGGGTCTCCCAGGGACTCTGGAATACCAGTTTCCTAGTGGGCAGGACACCAGTTGCTGGCAGTGGTGGGAAGGTGCCCGCAGGGCTGCATTTCTTCTCCTTTTGATCACCTTTTCAATGCTAAAGAGCACGTGCAGGGAGGTGTTGGTTGCTGTCTTAGTGTCACTTGATGAAGTGAGTGGTGCAGTCACCCGAACTTGCCCATGTCCTTTTGGGAAGCTGGTTTTTTTCCCCACTTTACAAGTGTTGGGGTTTGGGAGGAGGGTGGGAAGGAGGTTGGGAAGGAGAGCTGCTGGTGCTGGTGCTGCAGGCCTGGGAGCTGGCCCTTGTTGGCAGTGTGGATCCTGAACCTCAACAAATCTTGTAGCAAAGGATCCCTCTGTCTTGAGGCATCATGGGAATTATTTTTTTTCCTCGATGTGACCTGGAAATAGTAGCTGATGAAATAGCTCTCCAGCTTGCACGGTGTATTTTCCTTACATAGCATCTGTATGTTCTTTTGCTTTGTTTTCTTACCTATACGTCACCCTGTTGTATGGGAGAGTCGGGAGCTGCTGGTGCTTTTTACTTTAACTCTTCTTGCCGTGGCTTCCAGCAAATAAGCATACGCTTTTGTACATCAGAGACTGAATGTTTGCCTATTTTAAAATAGGAATGCTTGAGGAAACTGGATATGTTTGGGGCTGATTACAGCTTTCTGCGATCTGAAGTTTAACGTTTCACATTCTGATTCTTGCCTTTTGTTGTTTTTGGCTTTCTTCTAGGCTACGGAGAGCTAAATGGCAACGCAGGAGACAGAGAAGTGTCATTAAAGGGCCTGTGCTCTGATGAAGCCACCGCCCCAGGATCCAGGGTACCCAATGGCAGCCAGCAGCTCGTAGACACTAACGCCACCCCAAAGCAGACGGTGAAGGCCAGCGCTTTGGGGAAAGCTGGGATCAAACCCAAGAACTTCGTTCAGAAAAATAGCATGGACAAAAAGAATGAGAAGTCCTACGAGAACAAACTTAGAGAAAGCCAGTCCTCAGACAAGCCCGAGGGAGTGTCTATTCCAAACGGTGTGGTCACCAATAACTCCGGCTACATCACAAATGGCTACGTAGGCAAAGGGGCCGATAACGATGGTAGTGGCTCCGAAAGTGGATATACCACGCCGAAAAAACGGAAAGGCAGGCGCAACAGTGCCAAGGGTTGTGAGAACTTGAATCTAATACAGGACAAAATAATGCAGCAGGAGGTCAGCGCACCCACCTTAAAACAGGAACTTGAGAGCTTCAAGCCCGATTATAGTGAACAAAAGGGGAACCGAATTGAAAATACTAAGCCTGTTTGGAAATACGAGGCTGGGGCTGGTGGAGCAGGCCGGGGAAAGCCTGGGCTTGGGGATGTACAGCGAAAAAACTCTGATGCCAAACCTGGGATTAGCAGCAAGAAGTTTGATGACCGGCCCAAAGGGAAGCACGCGTCGTCGGCTACGTCTAAAGAGGATTCATGGACCTTATTTAAACCACCCCCAGTTTTTCCAGTGGACAATAGCAGTGCTAAAATTGTTCCCAAAATAAGTTATGCAAGCAAAGTTAAAGAGAACCTCAACAAAGCAGCTCAGACCCCATCCACATCATCTTCATCGTCTTCGTCATCTGCGGGGGAGACTCAGACCCAGACATCGAATCGGCTGTCCCAGGTGCCCATGTCCGCGATGAAATCCGTGACTTCTGCCAGCTTCTCCAACGGGCCGATCCTGGCAGGCACCGATGGAGGTGTCTATGCTCCAGGGACCCAGCCGCTGCTCGCACCCGCTGCTAGTACTGTACCATCAACCTCCTCTGAGTCGGCACCCCAGGACGTGAGTACAGCCCCAACAGCTCTCGAACAAAAGAAATCCAGCCTTTTTATCTACCCTTCAAATATGCAAACTGTGCTCCTGGGTACGGCGCAAGTGGATTTCCCATCGCAGACGAATCAGCAGAACCTGGGAGATATCTTCCAGAATCAGTGGGGTTTGTCTTTCATAAACGAACCCAGCGCTGGACCCGAAACTGTGGTGGGGAAATCAGCGGATAATCAGTTAATGGAAGTGACATTTCAAGGGGAATATCCTGCCGCTTTGGTTTCGCAGTGTGCTGAAATCCTTCCCTCAGGAACTGAACAACCTGTGTTTCCTAAGGCTTACGAGCTGGATAAACGGACTAGCCCTCCAATTCTTAGTGCTGTTCTTAAGCCTGGGACTGCTGGTGAGGGTGGTGTCTTAGCTTTGGAGTCGCATCACACAGGTGACCTACAAAAGGCAGACACCGGTAGCCAAGGTGCTTTAGTGTTTCTTTCAAAAGACTATGAAATAGAGAATCCTCTGGCCTCTCCCACGAACAATTTGCTAGCCTCCGCCAAAGAACAGAGGTACCAGAGAGGCCTAGAAAGGAAAGATAGCTGGGGTTCTTTTGACCTGAGGGCTGCTATTATGTATCACACTAAAGGTAATGGCTTCACTTGCTGCCTAAGGGCATTCTCTTATAATTTTTTAAATATTTTTTTAAAGTGAAATAATCTAACGTGATTTATTCCTTACAGTGGTTCGGATTGTTTTGAAAATGAGCTTTTTTGCTTTCCTATCTCTACTGGCAATAACGGTCTGGGAGAATTATTCAAATGGTTTAATTAATGTTAAGAGGTATTTGTTTCCCCATTCCTATGGACAAGCCTAAGTGATATTCATAGGCACGATAGTTACCTGGTGTGTTTAACATGTTAATTCCTGTGGAAGGAGCAGGTCCTCCTGAGCTGCTCATCCCTGGAAGGAGTTAAATGTGTGGGTTCACCTGCACTCTGCCTGCTTTAGCAGGTGATGTTCTGGCGCTGAAAAGGCTTCATGGGATGCACTCACACCTCTACCACCAAAGTGTTGCAGTTTCTCCCCTGGGCAGATTAGGCCATGAAGTCACAGCTTTGAAGGATGAAAAAAATATTCCACAGGCCAGGAAATCACAGCTTTGAAGGATGAAAAAAATATTCCAACAGCTTTTCATGTGATGATTTTTTTTAAAAAAACCAGCTCCACACACACACTTTCCCCCTTGCCTTTCTTGAGTATTATGGCAACAGCAACAAATCTTTGCTTATCAACTCTGCTGTAAGCTGCAGATTGAATTCTCTCCTTGTCTTTGTAGGCCAAATCTTTCAGATGATTTTGTTGCTTTCATGAAGTCGTTTGTAGTCCAGCTCCTTTTTTTGAGACTGAAATGCCTGAAACGCAATGCAGCCGCTTTAAACTGGGAATGAAGATTGGGCAGCCTGTGGGATGATGGCTCTCTCTCTGCTTTAGTCGCAGCCCCAGAAGCTCTGAGGTCTTGCGGCTTTTGGTCCTGGCTCGGTGTTGGTAGGAGCCCGGGAGCAAGTTCCCTTGGGGCACAGAGTTACCTACCCCGAAAAACAGGGGTAGTTCCCCCTTTCCCTCTCCCTGCATCCCCCTACCTGAAGGGAAATAGGTGTTCATCCGTTTTTTTGTTTATTATTCCACATACCTAAATGGATAATGTCTTGCTGCCCTCTGCAGAGGAGTTGGTATTGGGATGGTGTTGGAAAATTCACGTGTTTTGATTCACTGTGAAGTTCTTAAATTACCTCTTTGTATGGCATACAGAAACTTAGATGGCTTTCTTTAGTGATAGCAAGTCTGGTCATTTAAAAATAACTCCAAATATTTTTCCAGGTCATAACACTTTCATAGTGTTAACATTTTAAGCTCTAGTATTCTTGAGAACGGTGTTCATCTATTGATTTTATCTGGGTCTTCGTCCTCTCCCCGCTGCTCTGTTCCAGTATTAAAGCAAGCTTTCCGTTCTCATTTCTTTGCCTGCAGCCTAAATCCCAGTTTCTCATCAGAAAACCAGGGTACCAGAAAGCAAAACAGTTTGCAAATGTTTCTTTAACGCTTAAATGTGTCTCCTTTTGTTTTTATCAGCCTGAACTTTCTTGTAGAAGAAGGGGCAGCAGGACTCCTCGGCCCTCCCTTTGACACTGGCTGTGTGAAAGACAGACCCCAGTAAAACAATAGTGAGGACAGGAAAATAAAGAACACTCCCTTCCCATGTCCTTGAGGAGGTGTTAACTTCAAAGCCTGCCTGCGATTAGTTCTTCTAAATGCAGGAGTTAATTACATCCAGTGACAGGAATGGACACCTAAAGCACTCTTTAAAATGCCATTTTCTGCTCTTTCCAGGCTTCTGCGTCTGAATGCTCTTGCTTTGAGCACCCAGAGCTTAATGCCCTGGGGAAACAGGTTCCTGCCCCAATTCTTCTCTCTGCCCATTTATTTTTCAAGCTGTGTTTGTGCCATCTTCAAAGTGTTACTTAGGGGTGAAAGATGATGGATGTTTCTAATCAGTGTTGTCATTAATGCAGTGATAGGGGAGCTCCCAACAGCTTAGGCTTGTCTTTCCCCTACTTAGTCTTCAGGTGCTGTTGCTGGTTTACAAAGCAGAAGTTCAAGCTAGGTCTTATCTTCTGTGATGATGTTGGTTGCTGTATTTCTGTATGTTCAGGTCTGTTGGGGTGATTTAAGGGGTTTTAAGTAGATAACACCTTCCTCTGCCTTGTGCATGGTGGAGAATACAGTCCCCTCTTCATGGCCATGATCCTGCAGGCAGAGCCCCGTGGGGGAGCTCCTGTGGCACAGAAATACTGCAAAATGTGCAGAAAACAGAGCTGCCCGGGTGTGTTTGCAGGGCAGCAGCGCGGTGGTTAATTCCCACACTGCTCTCTCCATTTATCATGGGCTGTTTTCCCGAGGTCCTGCTCGTAGCCAACCAATTCCTCTGCGATAGGAAAGGAGCGATTTCACTCACTTATTTTTCACGAGCTGCCTTTCCCTGCTCCCCACTGGGTTTGCCTGCACTGGTGTTTGGCTGTCCCGGGCAGCTGGATCCTGGGTTGTCTGGTTTTGATTTCAAGAGGAAGGTGAACTTCTCCCTCTTCACATTGATCTGTTTGCTTTTGAGCAAAGTCTTGATGGTTTGATCTTCAAATCTGCCCTGACTCTGGGGTTATGGACACAAAGAGAAATGATTACAGGGTGAGCGCTGACTGGGTCCCTGCCCTGAGCTCGTCCATGTACCGTGGTTCAGTGCCAGCTACCAGCGGTTGCAAGGCTGAATCTCATGGTGTTGCAGTGAGGAATGGGCTCTAGGATTAATGGTTGCCATGCTTCGACCTGGCTGTCGCAAGCCTGTGCCCTTGTTTGCACTGGTTTTCTCTGTAGCTGTGATCAGGTAATGTGGATCCTCACTTTGGGCTGTAAATAGGCTATGGGAAAGCCTCCAGCTTACCCAGGAGCTTCGTTCCAGCAACCCAGGCTTTCCTGTGTGTGCTTTGCCCGGCGACTGCGAGGGGCCTTACGGGTTGTAATCACTTCACAGCTCCCTCGAAGGGATGGATGGAGGAGGGAGCGCGCAGGGCGGGCTGGCGCTGGTGCAGGGATCCTGTTCAGAGCACCCTGCGTGCTGGGAGCCTTGGGTGGCTGCAGAGCCCAGTGAGTGGTTCTGTGCTTTGTCTGTGCCCGGATTTGCTCTTTCCACAGAAATCGGGCAAGGCTGATGATGCACCCTCCTGTTCTTGGATGCTTTTGGTGCTGGTGTTCTCTGTGCCCCTGCTCTGTGCCTTGCTTCTGTTCCTTCTTAGAGGGCAGAAGGACTCCTGTGGTCGCCTGATCTGCTGCTTGACTGTAAAACGCGATCCTTCACCGTGGCTGCCTCCGCTGACACCGCGTGCCGCTCGCTGTTTGTGACGGTGCCTTGACACACTCCCGGGTGTCACACCTGATTTGGCAAGGTGGAGCTGATGTGGTGAAGTGCTGCTGGACCCACTGGTTATGCGGATGGAGACAGGGACAGTAGCTCAGTATGGGAGACTGGAAGGACCAGTGATGCTCTCACTTAGAGATGTTGTCCCTGTCTGGGTTAAAGCTGAACCTCTGCTTCAGTGTGGCACTGCCAAAATCCTCATGCTTAGAGATGTTGTCCATGTCTGGGTTAAAGCTGAACCACTGCTTCAGTGTGGCACTGCCAAAATCCTCA